AAAGGAAATTAAACACAGAAAGTTGTTAAAATAACATTGAATGTGAGTCATGGCTTCACATTAAGTAATGCTCTTACAGAGCACTTGTCTTGTCCTCCTGGATGAAAGCTTCCCACCTTCTGTCTCTAGTCTCAACTCCTAGGTAATAAATATCGTGTTTTATTATTACAGAAGTGAAAGAAATGCTAATGCTTTGTGTGAGAAACAATGAAGTGTTAGAAATAAAAATATAATGAGAGGTGTACAATTGAATACAACTCTCATATTTCTGCTACTGACATGCAATGAATGCTCTAGATTTCCGTTAAAGCCTGTCTAAGCAAAATTTGCCAAAGAACACTTTTTTCACATTCTCACTTTCTGAAGTGCACCCTAGTGCACCCAGACTCTGTCTCTTCATTCATTTAATAACGGGCTGTAACAAGCTACCTTCAGCTCTGCCTGCTAACTGGTGGAGGCATGCAGTGAAAGAGTTTAGCAGCCACAGTTTGGTGCAGTTCCATGTCTGTTTCTTAAGCCATTTTTAATGAGCTAATTTTTATGATTGTAGACTTACTTAGGCTTTTAAAAATTGGATTTAGACATGAGGAAATGCTGCCATTCATTACATTTGCAGTCTATTATTCGTTGTTCATTATCAGATTATAAATATTTTTCCCTTGGTCCTCTATATTCCAGCTCTGAAGATGCCCAGCACAGAACACAGCTCTATAGAAGACCACAAAAGATGACGTTTTGCCTTGATATCCACCCACTTCTAGACGTTACACGTGAAACACCCTGCTAGTTTGCATGACTATTGGTGAAAACTTTCCATATTGGGATGTTTCAGTTCAGTGCCTGCCTGCTGACCTGCACTGGAGCAGAGCTCCAGAGTTGGTTGATACCTTCTGAGAACAGATGGTTTTGAGATGTGGATCTATAACACTTGGGGCCTTCTTCTGGTGCTGTGTGGAAGATCTTGTGTATCGTGTGGCTGAAGAGAATGCTCAGAGCAACAACTGTCCGCCAACAGTGATGTGAAAAAGCAGTGTCAAAAATATGGTTTGTGAAGCATACAGGATTACTATTAGCCTTTTGAAGTGGTAAAGCCCAAACCTTATTTTTTCAGCTCATTGCTTCCACCCTAAGGCTGTTAGTTACGCTCCCTCAATATTGCACTGGAGGTGCAAATAGACAAGGAGGCACTGCCAAATCCTGTTGCATGAGGTACAGGGAGCTTGGCAGGCTGGCAGGCAGTTGGCAGTGCTATTGCTGCAGCAGGGCAATGATTCCTGCCCTACCTTCCCTAGGGCTGGGATCTTGATGGCAGCCTGCCAACAGAAAGGTAAGATTTCTAATTGCTGTGCTTCCAGGTATCATGTGCTGCTACTTCTGTGTTATTTTAAGAAAGCACAACTTGCTTCATTTCTGTTCTTTAGAAAGGAAAATGTGCTTTCAAAACATTTCTCAGCAACTGAACTATTAACTAACTGAACAATATTGACAATATTTCAGCAAAAAGTTGAAAGGAAATGGAAGAGTGATGTAGTCAGGACTCACCAGGAGAGCTCCTGTTAGGAAAGGCTGACTCTTAAGTGTCCCAGATGGTTTCTGTTGCCCATCTCTTCAGCAAGGGTTCCACAGTATTCTGCTGTGCCTAGGCTGGAGACCACCAACACAGCTCCTCTGTGGTACATGTACAGAGGGCTGAAGCTGGGGAATATGAGGGAATTTCCAGGAGCATACTGGTCCCTTACAAGTTTTTGTATTGATGTTCTACTTTTGGATAGTATAATGGAATCAGCTGTCAATGAATTAACAGTAATAATTACAACAGGAACAGCTGATGGAAATAATAATAAGAAACAAGAGGGGAGTGGGACTACATGACCTCCAGAGATTCTTTCCAAGCTAAACCATTCTGAGATTCTGTGATTTTTTTAACAGGATTCTCAATATTGTTGTCAATTTGCGCAGATATGGAAAATTTCACTATGCCTCTAGTAAAGTGAACAGGGTATACCCTAATACAACACTAGTTCTATAACAGTTATGATAGTAACAACTGCACATTTTCTTTAGTTACTTTTGGCAGATTTCCTTATTAGTATAATATAAATGAAACATCAAATTGCTGTTCACTGCCAGACAATTTACTGTTTGGATAAAAAAGTTCAGAAAGTAATTAATCTTGCATTTTTAATTTGTACTTTGATTAGGCATCTGAGGCATTTTAGTAATGCTAGAGGTGGCAAGAAGACTGAGAACAAAGCATTGGCAAACCACAGACAGAACTTCTGGCATAAAGAATGGAATTTATGTTCCTATCAGGTGGGGCAAAGTTAGCACAGAGCCTGATAGAACAGTTTGTTCCCAGGAGCTTGGCTTCTGAATTTTGTTGGCCTATATAATGGGTCATTGGCATCAGAGCAGGTGAGGTACCGAAGTGAGGGCATCTGTGAGGGACATAGATCCAGCTACAGAGAACCCACAAAGCAGCCACATGAAGCAATCAGCACCCAGTCTGAACCAAAACTGAAGCTGAACTGATATGGAAACCCACAAAAGGAGCCAGGAACCTTGTACATCTCTTGGTGAACCAGTAACATGTGCACAGCAAGAGCAGGAGATGCTCCTGTTTGGAATTTGAGATCTGGCAATTTTACGTCCATATGAGCTTTATGGAATGCCAAAATTTGGGCAGTGGCCAGAACCTGGAGAAAGCCAAATATCCCAGAACACCAGGGGTCAAGATCCAGAACAAAAATGTCATGCTAATTGGAGGCACTGTAGCATAAACAGAAACACTATTAAATTATTCTGGAGCTTGAGAATAGGTTACAGGGTACTTATGGATATAGCCCATTGCAAAATTAGTCACTGGATACTTAGCACTTTCTAAGTTAGGTCCATTATCTCCTCCATCTGTGTATATGAAAGTCTTTGGCATCGGGCTGGTCTAGGTTACTGTGAGAGCTAAATGAACCATTAACCATAATAAATATGGAATGGTGCAAGAATACATTGTTTATTTCACAAAAAAACAGGGCATGATAACTCTTACAACTTTCTTGCTTTTTTATATGCCTCTATTCACTCCATGCATCTGGTGCCTTTTGATGATTCATTTTAATGTGTTCAGCACATGCTCATACACAGACTGAGATCGAGATAGAGAATCACTGCAGTGTGCATATCCAGGGATCTAAGCCCAATCAGTTTTTGACAGTAACAGAGTGACAAATGCTGTCAATAATTTATGATGTGAAAAAAATTTACCAAAAAATAATTAAATCCTGGAAAATTCTGAAAAAAGGTTTGGTGATGTAAGTAAAAGTCCCTCAAGCATGTATTTATTTCCCTTGAAGAATGTAGATGGTTTCAGTACTTAACGTCAAGTATACACATATGTTATGTGGTGATCCAAAGCTGTTACCACTCAGTGTGCATGGCTTTATCTCAATTTCCCTTCTACTATGATAATTTATGTCAGACGTATGATTTACTGTAGATTTATGACATACACCAGACTGTCATTCTTGACAACTAGATAGCCGAAGTAATCTCCAAAATATTTAGCGTCATACCTGGAACATTCACTGATGGTGGAGTAAGTTTTGCTGAAATGTATGCAATTCCTTGTATGTGTACGAAGTACATGTATTGATGAGGGATTCAGTGATGGAAAATAAAGTCTCCTGTTACGCCAAAGTACTACAGACTGGTTTTAGAGTCATTTTCACTCTTTTTTCTTTACCTTTAGAAGCACACATTACTTTTATTATATAGGCAGACAGACAGACAGACAGATAGATAGTTATGGCTAGAAGTACCACAACAGAAAAACAATGGTTTCCATTTAAATTGTTTTGCTTTTCAGTCAGCTTGTCTTACTCAAAAGCAACAGAAGACCCTTGAGTTCATTTATATTTCAAAGCCTAGTCACTCTTTGACATCTGTTTTGGTGGAAGTTTAAACTACTTTGCTGGCTTTGTTACTTTAACTAAATGTTTAAAGACAATTCAATAAAGTGCAGTTTCTTTGAGACAGGTACTATCATGTCAGTTTGAGGTAATCATGGCCATGCCTTCTTACATGTTTCTAATGCCATTTGATAGGTGTCATTGACTTTTATGAAAATCTTTGAGGCACTTCCTTATAGACTGTGTTTGGAATTACTGTACATATCTCTTTCCTGGCCTCTGGCTGAATCTTACAATGTAAATAGCTTCATATGGCTGGCACACAGAGGGATAAGGTGTGTATTACTAAAGCCAGTACTTCAAAGGGGTATGCATGGTTTCAACCAAAATTAAGAACAGGAGAGCCCTGTGTAGACACTTCTTTTTCTTTCTTTCAGTTTTTTTCCCTAATTCCTTCTTTAAATGAAGAATGTCTGGGTGAAGCTTTCTGAAGAATTATTCTGAATAATTTAAGTAAATTTATATGCCATCTTATTGGACTTTTTGTTTTGCTTTGAAATTGTTGCTATTGAGACATAAGAGCTTAGCAAACAAATTAGTGATGTCAGAACCTCTGAAATATATCCATTATTGAATTATCAGCATTTTGAACCATGAAAAAATACATAGTTGTTACTGACAATGAAATAAAATGCCTGACAAATACAACCATGAGAAAAAAAAAAAAAACATCTAAATGGAGTTTTTATAGATTGAAATTAATTCTGAAAACAATACAAAACACCGAAAAGCTGTGTACAGTTAAATGTCAAAGTTGCCACATTTAAAAATGCTACTGGAGTAACCTATATTCATTAATATCTTATTCCCTTCAAGAGGTAAGAACTGTCTTTGGATTCATGACATGAAGAAGCGCTTATAACACATAATGTGGTTTTATACACTGTGAATGTTGCTAGCAGAGTGAAAAGAAGCATTCTGTTATTTCTTTTCAGACAGGGACTAAAAACCACGAAACAGTAATTTTTTATTTTTTTTTTTAATTCTTCCATGGCAGCTAAAGAAATTCAACTGTTGCAAATGAATTGCACTTAAACTCATTAACATTGAATTTGATCTGTAAGCACCAGTATAATGGATGTACCCGAAATGTTCTTACGGTTATTTGTCATAAATGATTGGGGGGTTTTTTTTGTTGTTTTTTTTTGCTTGGACAAGACCCAATTCACAGTTCAGAGTGGCCTGAAGACCGGGCTAAAGGAAAAAACCATGCTGCAACAAAGAAATGACAGGCACTAAAAAATATTTTCAACTTTCTTCTTTAGTTCATACCAGCATATTTAATGCCAAACGTATATGTGACAGGATTTTGTCCAAAACTATTCATTTAATAGCTTTCCCCTTCTCTTTCCTTCTTCCAGTTTACAATTTGTGTACCACCCCTGGGCTTATGAGGTTACTGACAAAAAATATCAGTTTATACTTTTAATGAAAAAGTAGAAGGCTTTTGGTACAGAAGCCTCTGTGTTTGTAGGGGAAAAGAAAACCACCACACATAGCCAGTTCATGAGTTATCTGTTGAGTTAAAGAAAACAGCCTACAATGGCTTTTGTTCTACATGCATACAGGACATGGATAAACCTAATTCTCCACATGAACGAATACAGCATTTTACAACTGAGTTTTGTAGGGCCATTTAATTTAAGCTACAATTGCACAGAGACAAGACTATGCACTAACTTCCAGACAGCAATACTTCTTGACTAAAAGCAATTTATTGGATAAAAATATTGCAATGATATTTTTATCTTAAGGCTAGTACATACTCTTATTTCTACTAAATGTAATTAAAGCAAAACAAAAACAGCAACAACAAAAAACCTGCATTTTTCTGTAATAGAATTGTGTGCAGAACATCAAATCAAGTAAACAATTATGAAGTGACAAGAAAAATAACAATGTTCTGCTTATTTTTACAGAGGAAAGTCCTAAAATACCATTTTCAAATTATGCATCATAAAGCATCTGACAGTTGTTGAATTATTTTTTTTTTTTTTGTATTCCTGAGAATAAAGAAAATATGGTTACATGTTGCTGAAAGCACATGCTGCTTTAATCTTCCATATGCAGTTTAAGATAAATCATCTTCAGTTTCATCCTGTAGCCTGATCTTCTTCTGCACCAAAGCATTGCTAGCCTAATAGTTGGTACTTCTAAAAAGCAATAAAAATGTAATTATAACATTATAAAAATGTAAATATAACATGTTTTAGTAAAGAAAAGTAAGTCTTGGTTATAAGAATAAATATTGTAAGGAACACCTGTCAAGAAAAAGTGGAAAGATGCTGCAATCTATTCATACTTCTTTTCTATCAGTAACACTAAATCTAAAATACTGCAAATCACTGTTAACATCCAAGAAAACACTAGTGAATCTCACAGTTTGCTGAATTAGTTTTTGTTCCAGATATGTATGTGAAAATTTTACTTCCAAAACAAATAAATTAAATAAGAAAGACCTGAATTATGAATATTAGTGTGTTTTCTATCTTTTAAAGTTCAAATTTGGCCACATATTTCTTTATTATATTTTGGCCCTTTCACTGTGTGCATCAGAGTTTCCACTAGTTCTCAGCTCTCCCAATGATGATCCTTTGTTAAACAGTAAAAATACAGCTTACTGCTATTTTCAGTTAAGCCTTGAATTGTATTTTGAGTTGACTTGACAATGCTCTTTTCTACTCAACCATAAGCTCCTTTCTCCTTCATTTTGTGCCAGGCAGCCAATGATTTTCCAATATCTTCCAATAGCCTGATTAATTCTATCTGTAATTTATCTCCAGCCACCTGCACTAATATAGTATTTAATGTCAGGCAACTTAAGTCTGAAGGTCCTGAATGGCTGAAGTATGTTTTTGGTGGGTTTTCAGTGCTTACCTTTCCATCTTCATAGTCCAGAACTGAATTTTTGGTGAACCTGCCCTGTGAGGAGATCTTTTCCCTAACAGGTTTACATCCTGCTCAATTTAACACAGAGATACAAGTTCAGTAAGACATGCATGATGTTTAATAATTTCTACTACTTACTTTAGTTACTTTCATTTAGTTTAGTCTTAGTCAAGAACATTACTATTTGTGCTCAAACCACTGGCAAAATCTTGACAGGAATGAAGTGTCCTCATCCAGTTCCAGCCTTGTCTTCTGGGTAGCCAGGAGAAAATTGAAAATGGACAACTGAAAATTTAATTGAAAATAACAGCTAGAAGTGGAAAAGACTCTACAAGGAGAGAAGATTCCGAACTTCCTGAGATCAGTATAAGAGAGCAACCAAACATATAATTCAATATTTGAAGTTCTCTTCTGGTTGTTTGCTCACAGGGACATAAAACTGATTTTTCTATCATGTACTTTTGTTTTCCACCTCATAATATTCCAAGAAGAATAACCTGTTAAGTGACTGTATAGCTAAATTACCCATTTTCACATTCGTTAATTAATGCAATAGTGCAGGCCTTTGCCCAGCTCCCTTTATATGGTTTCTACAAATGTGCAGTACAATACTGTACTAGTTTGGATTAGTTTCTTTCCTCCTCATACTTGAAGAAGTGTGTAATAAGAACTATATATAGGAATACTTTATTGTATGAAGCAAGCTAAAAGTAGCAGAATTCCCACCCTAGTCAGAGCAAGCCAACAATTGCAGCATTAGCTTTGGCACAATAAAGAGGATACATAAGAGCTTTCCCTAAAAAATAATTCCTTGACAAGCATTTATCGTGGTGAATTTGAGAGTGATTTCCATTATGCTTCTGTGTGTAAGATAAAATGGCAGTTGTTTTCTATGCTGAACTTTGTTCACAGACCCAGACCTTTTAACCTGTGCATTCAGGAATGCAGAGATTTTTCTAATTTTTCAAGTCACTGAGTATTTTATGTCACAATTACAGAGGTGCAGGTTGACATACGTATTTCAGCTCACTGCCCATAGGATATTGTTGATGTCATGAGGAAAAGGCAGGTGTTTTGCACTTTTTCATTGAAACAGCTCTCAGTAGGTTGGTCCAGTTACAAACATTCTTCAATGCCTATTTTGTTAATATTTCAGATTCCAAGATTACCAAGCATAATTTGTAATGTCTGCACACTCAAGAGAAATCCCAGGCAACGTAATTTAGTTCTCAAATTTTCTCTGAAAAATTTCTTGGTTTATACTTCTTTACAAAAATAATTAAACAAACATTAGATTGCCTTTGAGCCCTTTCTGGATCCCTGTTTTGCAGACATGTTCCTTTTCCAATTGCCACCTCAGAATGAGACTTGCAATCTTATTGCAAGGGGTGAAAAAATACATGTACATAATAATTCCTGCTGCCTGCATATATATGAACAGCAAATAAATACAGGATATCTGTATTATACAGATCTGCTCATATTTGATTCTGTCAAATGATTCTGTAAGGAGCTTATGTCTTGTAGCACTCATGGCAGTGATACAGTTGCATGCCTACGGCACCATATCTCATCTGGACAAGATGCAACAAAGATGTCTGGTCTACTTTGAAATCATTAGAGATCACTGTTTGAAAGAGAATCAAATATTGAGCATTATGCCTAATAGCTTGGTTAGCTTGTAACTGGTACTTCCAGATGCTCACACACATGCAAGCACACAAAAACAAGCATACTTTTGGATTTCACATTTAAATACTGCTTTAAAAACACAGTACACTTTAAGGGCTAAATATTACAGTTACTATGATTAATACAAAATTTTGATATTCTTCCAAATAAAAAAGTTTCTGCAGAAATGTAAAATTTTCCAGGTTTTTCTTTTTTCAGTCATAGTGCTTTGGGGCCAAAGGGGACCATTAGATCATCCAGATTCATCTCCTGTATGTCACAGACCATTAAATTTCATTCAGTTACCCTTGTATTAAGCGCAACAACTTGTGTTTGAGTAAATTACAACTTGAATATGTCTCCATCCAGGCATTTCCATCTGGATGGTGTGACAAGGCCTTTCCTCTATACCTTGTGGTCCCATATTTCCTATAGAAGTCTTCCTGCTGCCTAAAAGTTCCTCTCCACAGTTATTTCCTCCATTGGTTCAGACTAAATTCAGAACTCCTACCAGCTGCTTGGTCCAGAAATTTTGAGTTACTTCCCTTTACATATTCTGATCCTACATTCAGGTCTTTAGCTTTACTCATGACAGACATGCACTTTAGGATCCCAGTGTGCTTCAAAGCAATTTTACGCTGTCCTCCATTCTTCTGACCTCTTTCCTGGCCTATTCATTGAATATTTGTCTTTGTATCTTGGAGAAATATGGGGCAGTGCTTTGGCATTGAGCTAGGAATCCAGTGAAATCTGTATTGTAGGTATTCACTAGGACTCTGCAACAGTGTCTGTGTTACTGGACCGGTGATCTTGCTGCCCACTATAAGATACAGAAAGAGGGTGAATGACTGTTGAACAGCATTGTGGTTTCTTCTGCTTTCTATTCCCTGTTGCATTATTTCCTCCTTGCAACAAATGCTTATCACTTTGTTATTTCCTGAATTTTTTGAAAGGTATTCCCCACAGACAAACCAAAGATAGACAGTCTGGCTTGTTCTGTCACCCTTCTTGATGCTGCAGCAGGTTGTGTACATATCTGTCAAAGAAACACCCCAAACATGGAGTGTTTCCCCCTCTTCATGTATTGGTTAGCAAGTTATGTATTGGTTAATGAGATCTACATGTATAAAGATCCCTGAAGCCACAGTGCAAAATCAATATAAAGCAAACACCATTTAGAAAGCTAAATGAAATACTCGGGGTCTGATTTTAGCATTTAAGGGAACAATAGGTCAAATGCAATCATCTGCTTTTCAGATGATAGTTTCCATTTTACCAAATAAGTCTCTATCAAGGCTGGCAAAAGCTTCTGTATTAGGGGGTGAGGGAATGAAGAGAGAAAAGCAAGGAAGGTATATGACCTTATTTTACCTTTTCTGACAAAAGCAGGTAACACTGCTAATTTAGGGAGAGGATCCCACAGGCCACCAAATGTTCTTTCCTGAGATGACCTGCAGCTTTTCTCTTTCAGAATGTCTCTCACTGCTAATTTTATTATCTTGACAAAGCCCTGAGTGCTCATCATTGCTTCAGAGATGGAAGAGCTTCACGTTCACTACAGTACAAAGAGTTATCACAAAGTTACTTGCTTCTAAATAAGGAGATATGCTGAAGAGCAGCTGTGAAGACATGCTCCATATTGCTGGTGCTACAACTGTATGTAAGGCAGGGAGGAAATCAGAGTAGCACAACACAGCCCAGTGAAGTCATATTTTGTCTGCACAAAATGATAGACAACACTAAAATCATGTAGGATTAAGCTGAATTCTTGGTCATAGCTTAGCTATTTGCTAATTAGCTAATTGCTGTCCCTCCCATCTGTGTGCTTAACTAGCAGATCACCAGTTATGAATTGCTCACAAAATAAAATATAAAATAAGCATTACAGGTTTCAAGTAATCAGTACTGGTAGATGCTGCTTGAGAAAAGACAAAAGTTCTGTGAAAAGATGGGAATGTTGGATATTTTGCTATCTCCGAAGTACTGGGGTTAGCTATGAAATTTAGTGTGTGTTACATAGCATTTGAGTTCACTGATATTAAGAAGCCAGTAATGCCTTATGTCCTTTGACCCTTCTTTTGGAGACATGGATGACTTTGAGTACTTCACCCAATTTTCATGGCACCAAGACAAAGAAATCCAATGTCAAGCACAAGATATCAGTATGTTAGCTTGATGTCTATGCTAAAATAGCCATCTATGAAACCACAGTCCTCCAATCCCCTAATTTGCTGTAGTCTCTAGCAATAGGACTAAGGGGAATGGCCTCAAGTTACAGCAGGGGAGGTTGGGTGTTAAATAAATTGCTTCTCTGAAAGAGTGGGCAAATGCTGGAATGAGCTGCCCAGAAAGGTGTTGGAATCACCATCCCTAAAGGTGTTCAAGAAATGTTTAGATGTGGTACTAAGGGAAAACAGTGCAGGAATATTGGTGGTGATTGGACTGGATAATGTTAGAGATCTTTTCCAATCCTAGTGTGCTTCATGATTATCTTAGAAGATTTTGTCCTTTCTGGAGGGAGGTAATAGTTTTAAATTAATCCACAATGTATAGAGTTGTAACAATTTAAATATCTAACAATAAAAATTTATATGGCCATGGAATTACTGGAAACATACTATACTACTTCTCTTAATGCAGAATTTATTTATTTTTTATTTCTAACAGCATTATTAGCTCCTCTCATCATATTGCTTGGTCAGAATATTCAGGATATCATTGCTGAAAAGAGCAATAGATGGGGTTGATCATTCCAATTTAAGAAACAGTTTATTGTATTGTCTTTCTCCAATTATTGCTAGGATTCGTTTACATTCAAAAATGTACATATATATATATATATACTTTTTTTTTTTTTTTTTCTCAGTTCGTTTTGGCACTTCTGTATCTGAGTGTCAGCCAGCATCAGTCTCTGGCATGGTGCTCTTGAACCATTCTCCAAAATAAACACAGCAGATGTCAGTCAGGTGTTTTTCTACCCATGTCCAAACACTTGCCAAGAAATACATTTTTATTTTAGACCTATATCTTAATTATCTAAAGAATTTGTCATCTAAATTAGATATCCTATCTAAATGAAGGAATCGTGAAATATGCACCCCAGGCATACAGGGGTGGCCAGCAGGGAGCGCAGTGGCCCAGGACTGGAGTAAACAGGCCGGGCAAACATCGCCTGGCACCTCAGAACGTCATGGCACTGCACTTGGCACAGGAGTTTCCCACAGAGCAGGCGAGCACGGACATGCTCTTCTCATCCAGGGCCACGAGGGAAAGAGATTGCCGTCAATAGCAACATGGTGACCACCTGATGTGGCAGACCGACAGGTGGAAAAACAGATGGCACCCACAACCTCTCTGGGCTGACACACACATCTGGATGGATCTCATGAAGAGTGAGAGCTGCCCGGGCGTTTGGCTGCGGGGAGCTCCAGAACCTGGAAGTCCCTCTGTGGCCTGAGGGAGGAGAAGGAGCAGAGGGCTCTAAGAGGTGTTGGTGTGTCCTGTTCAACAAACTTCTTGAGCAGATGGCCAGGCTGCAGGAAGAAATCACCAAGATGAGAGGCAACAGGGAATCAGAGAGGGAGGCAGATAGAAGTAGGTCTGAACTGACACATGCCAACCTGCAGTTCCCTCCTAAGTCCCTGAGTCCCTGCTTGGGGTAGAAGTTAACCAGTTTCCCATCTGGAAGATAAAGGACATGATAACACGCAAAGTGAAGGGGGATGGATCCTCATCTGCTCAAGCAGAAGGAGGTATCTTCTGTCTAGTCCTGCAGCTCCCCAGGGCAACTGATACAAGGATGTAGGGTTGAAAACAGAAGAGGGACAGCATAGCAGACAGAGCCCAGGAAACAGCAAGCATACTTAGCAAGGCCATCCAAAGAATTGTATTAAAACTACCATAAACAAAAAAGGGTGAGGAGTCTTAGTAACTGGGGACTTCTTGCTGGGAGGCACTAAGGCCCTCATTTGCCACCCAGATAACCTCTCCTGAGAGGTTTGCTGTCTTTAGCGGCACATGTCAGAGGTGTTAAGAAGACTCTACCACATTTGATGAAAAGACTACTACCCACTCACTATCATTCAGATAGGGTCACAGGAGACTGCAACAAGGAAATTACATTAATACGGACTTTGCATCCCTTGGAAAAACTCTGAAGGGTTAAGGAGTGCAAGTAGTGTTCTCGTCTGTCCTTTCGACTGATGGCTGGGACCTGGAAAGAAGGAAGGAGAATGGGTCAGGTAAATTACTGACAGAGGGGATGGTGCCCGGATCAAGGTTTTGCGTACTGTGATCTTGGGCAGGCCTTAGAGAGCCTGGGTATGCAGGTGTCAGATGGAATGCAACTGAGCAGGTGGGGCAAAAGTGTTCTGGAACAAGCCAGCTGGATTGATTATCCAGCTTTAAACTAGATTTGATGGGGGGAAGGAGATGAAATTCTTCATGACAGAGAAGAGCCAGGGAATGCTGTCATTTTAGGAAGAACCTCTCTATTGTCCCATAGGATCTTATGAGGACTCCTCAGAAAAGATAGCATTGCCCATAGCCCAACTGAAATCTTATTTCATCCCTCCAAGGATACCTGCACCCTCTGTACCCTACCTGTACACTATTGCACACAGCACGAGAAATAAACAGGAAGAACGAGAGACCTGTGTGCAGTCACAGAGCCGTGAGCTCATTCTGATCATGGAAACATGATGGGGCAGCTCACATGACAGCAATGCTGTCATGGATAGCCATGTCCTCTTCAGGAAAGACAGGCCTGCAAGGTGAGGTGATGGAATTGCTCTCTACATAAGAGAGAAACTAGAATGTCGCATCAAGCTCCAGCTGGGAGCAAAAGATGAACAAGTGGAGAGCATGTGGGTAAGAATTAAGGGATGAGCTAACATAGGTGACACTGTCGTGGATGTATACAAGCCACCTGATCAGGATGAGGAAGTTGAAGAGGCCAACCAGCTGGAAGTAGCCCTGCAATTTCAGGTACTAGTTCTTACAGGGGACTTTAATCATTCTGAAATTTGTGTGATAACAATATAGGCAGGCATACATTACTGTCCAGGAGGTTTCTGCAGTGTGTTAAAAATGACTTTCTGGTGCAGGTGGTGGTGGAGCTGACAAGGACGGGTGTGCTACTTAACACTATTCTTACTAACAAGGGAAAGCTGGTTGGGAATGTGAAGGTTTAGGGCAGTTTGTGATGCAGAGATCATGAGATGACAGAATTTAGAATACTGTGTAAAAGAAGCTAAGCAATAAGCAGAATTTCTATCCTGGACTTCAGGAGAGCCTACTTTGCCCCCTTCAAAGACCTACTTGAAGATATCCCATGGGCTAGACTGTTAGAAGGTAATGAGTCCCATTATAGCTGGTTTTTTTAATGTATGTCAACAGTAAAAGAAAAACTATGGAAAATGTGGGTCCCCTATTAAATGACACAGGTGCCCTGGTTACAGCAGATGCTGAGAAAGCAGAGATTCTGAATACCTTGTTTGCTTCAGTCTTTACTACAAAGTCTGCCCCTCAAGAATCCTGGACCCTGGAGGTAATAACCCAGGACCCTGGGTGTGGTCTTGGTCAGTGATGTGAATGAAGAGATAAGAGTTCTCCCTCAGCAAGTTTGCTGTTGATTGAAAGCTGACCTGTCTGGACACCTATCTGTGCAACTTATTACAGGGAGCCTACTTTGGCAGAGGGGTTGGACTTGATGATCTCTTGAGGCCTCTTCCAACCCCTGCAATTCTGTGATTCTGTAACATCTAATTTGGGAAATTTGACTCTGTATCCGAGCTACCTGCATTCAAGCCAATCCTACCCAGTCCTTACTTTTTCATGGTGAAGTGCTAAGCTTTCTAACTGCCATGGTTATGTTCCAGCATCTGTCTTAGCAGGCATTATCTCAAAAAACACTTACAGATCCCCCTGCATGGCAATGCTGGCCTTACCTTTGCAGAGTTCAGAAAGATCTGAAGCAGAGCATCCTTCTGAGTTACACTGAAGGTGAGAAGAGTACTCTCTCACAAAGGTCTCTTCGACTACTATTCAAAACAGCATGTTAATCTGCCCATGTTGCTGCTCACTTGCATTGATCTTAAGGTTATTTTATCTAAGTATAGACACTAGAGAAGAAAATAAGAGATCTTAGTGAATTATAAATGAATTATAGTCCTTTGTGGTTCATATATTCACAAAACAATATTCTTGCTTGCTAATGCTGAGCTATTGTGCATGCAATTGTTCACAGCAATTAGGTTTGATCACTACAAGTTTGGCTTGCTGCTGTCACAAGTTTCTCACTGTGCAAATGTAGCTGATTCAGCAGTATACAGGAAGACTTACCCCCTTGATTTTTTAACAGATATACGATAATCAGGTTTTCCCAGACACTGTGTGCTTTGCATAGTTGCTTATCTTTATGAACAGCACTGTGTACCAACAAACTATTATATGCTAATTCTCCATATTCTTCATTTAGAAATATACAACAGCCCTTCTTATTCATGGTGGTTACACAATATTGCAGCATTATGTTCTACAATTTCTTAATATGCTTTTTGATGCATTTCTTGCACCGAGGGCAACAGCAGTTCACAGCAAGTTTTACTTTATTTATTTAGTCAGGATTACTGAGAAATTAGTCCTTAGGCCCCAGACACATAGTTCTCAGCAAGATTTGGGCCAGGTTATCACTACTGTAGCCTTAGCAAAAGTAACTTCTGGACCTATCTATGCTCATGCCTGAGAACCTTCCAGCCACTAAAGCCACCTGGGATCAAATGACTTGAGTCTATGACAGTAATATGCCTTTTCTTTGAAAACACATTGGCTGCATGCAAACTGCCTATTGGAATCTGTCCCTGGATCATCCAACTCATGAAAAGTACCTAGGGATAGCTGGAAGGAGCATGAGGTGCATGGGCCAGGTCTGTGGCTGTGACTGCTGCAGGAGTTTGCTGCCATAATTGACTCTACTGGTGTCTGAGTATGTTTTGCATGTGCCACAGATGTGCCAGCCTATACACAGCCACCACGCATGTCTACAACAGAAGAAGACAAGTCTCTCCTGTAGTGACTTGCTCTTGCCATCTAGGTCACCTCTGGTCTGATCCGATGGCTGTAAAAGTCACTGACTAAAAGGTCACTGACTCCAATGGACTTTAACTCCAGCGCAGGGTTCTCTGGGATTTCAGATGTGTCTGATCTGCATGCAAACGTAGACAGATAAATGTCAAAAAGTGAAATTTCCTACTGACAGAAATCATTAAAAGACAAAGCCCCTGAATATATGTTATTTACACATATAAGTATTTCATATGTCAGCACTGCACAGTAGTTAAACATTCAGATGAAACGAATTTGTGACAGAACTTATTTTAGTACAGTCTTTTTTCACCACAGTGACTTTGTTCTTTAATTTACAGGTATGAGTCTACAGGATGATTTTCAAATGTGATCCTGGAGTTTTATATTTGATTTTTACTGCAGTTTAAGTGCCAAATCAAAATTATCATGTTTAATTTACTTTATTCTCAGTGGTTTTGCTTAGATTTATGAATTACCTTGGATTAATTACTATATAGCATTCTGTTTTTATAGTGTAATTGGGTGTGTCTAAGTGCATTCCATTTTATGACTTGCTTTAGGGTATATTTTGGATGAACTATATAATATAAAATACATTTGGTGTTATGTTTTATATAATGCCAGAGAAAGCACAGAAAGTGCATTTTAGTTTCTAGGTTTATTGGTTCCTTGTCTGCAAAACTTTGGAGGACATACCTTCTTATTTTCAGTTTTTCTCAAATTATTCTGAGTCTTTTCCATTTCCAATTTTCACAGTAACTGTTGAATTATTGAATCTTTTTGTCAATAATTATTTTCAGTCAGAACAAAATTAATAGTCTACAGGGAATGATAGTATGAAATCTGTAAATATAGGTGTCACACCTTCTAACACTATT